TACGTTGGCGGTATCGATTTTTATAGCTGATTGATTCGCTTTTCGCACTTTGGGTTGTTGTTTTTTTCAAAACAAGGCGGCAGGTCAATTTTGAATTTCCATTTCGTTACCCTAGAATTACAAAGCTTTATCTGCTCGGTATATCTACGAAGTTTTGAGAAAGTTGACGTGAAAAAAAAATTAAGATCCTCAATAGGTCAAACTTTTTCGAATGAAACTCTTCGAATATTTTGATTACAACATCGAATAGTATTACAGTTTTGATATGGAAGATAGAACATTTATTGGTAATTGGTATCTGACCTCATTGTCTTATAATAACTCAGAACGGCCAAAAAAGTCAAATAGAGATTTGGGAATCTAAGGCAGCGATTTGAAACCGCGAGGGTGATACCAAGTTTGAGTCTTCGTAATTGTGTGTCCCAATATTTGTGTGGAAGAGAGCATTTTTAGAACATTCAGAGGTGGACGTCATTTTGTCTGTTTCGTCTCATAGTACCTCTTCGAGTTTTTCACAAAAACGACAAGCAGTTGTGATTGGTGTTTTTTTCTTCTAAACACACACACACACACACACACACACACACACACACACACACACACACATACACACACACACACACATGTGTATGGTGGCTAAAAGTTTGTATAAAAATATGCGACGCCAGAATAGAGAAAGAGAAGTAACAGACTACAGAAGATCGATTACTTTAGTTTATGGCTCGTATCTAATTGACGACGTTGAACAATAAAGACTTTTGAGCCGGATCAGAACATACTAAGACCCATATGTTTCACACTTTTGCTGTGCATATACCCTTAATAAACAATTTGCCTTCAGTTCAAGAGAACGAAAGTAGATTATTACTACCACCAAAGACCCTTTTAACTCTCCCCCCCCCTACCCCCCAAACCGCCACTCATCCTAATTCCACTCTCCACTTCCTCAAAGAAGATTTTTCTGGCAGCTTTCCTCCTGTCGTGTTTCTCGACCCGTCCTGAAAGATAATCCTCGATAACACAATCTCGCCTTCTACCCCCCACCCCTTTTCCCCCGCTTACACCTCTCTCTCTCTCTCTCTCTCTCTCTCTCTCTCTCTCTCTCTCTCTCTCTCTCTCTCTCTCTCGTCTCTCTCCCCCCCCTCTCTCTCTCTCTCTCGTCTCTCTCCCCCCTCTCTTTCTCTCTGTCTCTCTCTCTTCTCCCGTCTCTCTCTCTCTCTCTCTCTCTCTCTCTCTCGTCTCTCTCCCTATCTCTCTCCCTCTCTCTCTCTCGTCTCTCTCCCTATCTCTCTCCCTGTCTCTCTCTCGTCTCTCTCTCTCTCTCTCTCTAGTCTCTCTCCCGTCTCTCTCTCTCTCTCTCTCTCTCTCTCTCTCTCTCTCCCGGTTGGATCTCTATCATGATCCAGAGCGAGACAAACTGCCACTTCAGTGTTTACATTACGTATTCGTTTTGATAAGTCCGTTGAATCAGCTGTCTTCAAGTCACAACCTGTCTGTTTTTATTATCCTGTGTGCGCGGCCATTTTGTCAGCGAGTTGAAAGGCACCAAGGGCAGCAACCACTGTCAGCCACAAGGGACATAACTAATGTTGAAATGATCGGTAAGGGTTTTCATCGAGTTACTTCCCCTCAATAAATGGTCTTGGCGGCAAAATCGCGTCGCAGGTCGCAATAAAGGGATGGGGTAAAATTATTATATCAGAGTGATGGAATACAGTTTTCTTTATTTGGATTGGCAGGGCAAAAAGTCAAGAGAGAAAGAGAGAGAGAGAGAGAGAGAGAGAGAGAGAGAGAGAGAGAGAGAGAGAGAGGTAGGTCATCATCATTGCCACGAACAAAACTTTCCATCTTTCCCTATCCTGGGCGAGTCGCTTGATGTCACTCCATGTCTTCCCACTTTTCTGCACATCTATTTCCGTGACTCTTCTCCGGGTTCCACGTGGTCTTCCCCTTGATCTTTTACCCTGTGAGTTTCGATATAACACTTTTCTTGATATGCAGCTGCGTGACTTCCTGAAAGTGTGTCCTATCCATCGCCAATGCCTTCTCTGTCTGCCCATCTGATCCTCAGTAGCTTCCTCAGACACTTGTTCAAGAAAACCTGGATCTTCTTTATGCACGTCTGAGACGCGTTCTATGTCTCATATCCATACAGCAGGACTAACTTGAGTCAGAGGTAGATGCACGAAAGAAGCGTGTTCAAGACATTGAATTTCAGAAAGAGAATGGAATACTTAAGAGAGAAGAGACGCAATACGAAAGAAACCATACGACAAAAAAGTAGAGACAGGGATAATGTGACAGCGAAAGAAAGAAAATGAGAAAGTAGATGAGGAAAATAGAGAGAAAGAAAAATAAATGAGGGAAAAACGAGACACAGAAAGAGAAAGTCACTTTAAACACAATTTTCTGTTGCCTCTCAATATCCCCTCCCTCCTTTGCACCCTTTGTGTTTAATAAGAAGAACTCGAAATTTGAAATGGCTATAACAGCATAATCGGTAGTATTTGACAGGGTTTGTGTGAATTCGGATGGTCGATTGTAATCGGTAGTTCACGTATTTTGTTTATTCTAACCCAGTTTCATTTTGGAGTCAGACTGCTTCGAATTTACCGGGGAAGACCAACCCAGATCAATTGGGACAGCATCATAGCAGAAAGACGGAGATGTCCGATGGTCTCCTATCTATTCGGGAATGGAACTCAAGTCCCCTGAGTGCAACGACGAAGAGCATAACGAATACACCAGAGATGCCGATATATGAAACATAAAATGGAAAGTAAGTATAAATATGTTCAAAGAGTAGACCTTGGTCTTCATTCTGCTGAACATTACCTTCAACACACGCACAGAAAACCCCCCCCAAAAAACCCAAGCAGACCCCCAAAAAACCCAACAACAAAACAAAAAGAACTAGAATCTAGTGATTCTGGTTACAACATATTTACTTCATTCGTAGACGGAATGCATGGCTCTGGGTATATCGCGTAAGATCAGTACGAGCTAGTTTTTCGGTGAATTGGTACTTGTAGGCTAGCTATTTTACGCTTTAACCAACACAAGTGAGATAGACAAGGAGGCTGCTTCAACACTACTTGCCAGAACCAACTGGCCCTCAGTTTGATATAGTATTCTTGCAGAAAGATGCATGGAGGTACTCGATAAAACAGATTCCGACCAGTAAGAATCGAACTCACATCTTTTGCAGGCAACTACGAAGAGCCTAGCCCTATACCACTGACTCTAGTTTTCATTTTTACTTGAGAAGTGTGTGAGTGAGGGGGGGGGGGGAGCGGAATACGGAAGGGGTATGGTATCATCTCAAATAGCCAAAACTTGAATATCTGAAAAAAACCCCAAAAATGGCATGGTATAGTCAGTCACTATTTAGGCTTCAAGGTATACGACTTCATATCACAAAGAGCTTTGTTCTACGGCCTAACGGGCGTTTTACATGTCAATGAATCTCGTACAAATTTATTGATTTCCCGCTGATAGAGTGTACCCATTGGGTCTCTTTCTGTGGATATTGAGGGTAACAATGACAAACTCCTGTCTTTGAGAATCAAGTAGCTTTTTCATTGTTACAGCCCATAGTGTCGATCAAGGTGTCTTTATAAAGCCAGATCTCAACAACCATGAAACTAAACGTTAGAATAATATATTTTCCTCTGTCCCTAAGCATAGACTCTGATATATGTCGATCAGATCATCGTAGATCAGTACAGGGCAGCAATTACAACAAGCTTTTTTTAAAGGTCAAGAAATAAAAGACAAAATAAAGAAAATGTAGAGACTTCATCTGGTCAGGTTCTATTGCTATTCTTAGAGCTCTGAGCATGTCTTCTGAGCCACCTAATTGTTTCTATGGGTTGTCTCAATACAAAGAAGGTGACTCTTAGAGTTGGGAGTTTGTCATTGTAACAGACGACATACACAGACAGAGGCTTCCTGGGTATAGTACATCACAAAAGAGATCAGTAAAGTCAAACGAACAAGATATAAAAAGGAGCGCATTATCTATTCCATGTTTATTGTCAATTCATCAAACTAGTCCAAGGATAATTTGCTGGTTTCCTCTAGTTCTGGTTCATCCAGCAAAAACTAAGCCACCCTCGCTGTTGGACGTCCTTTGATACCAACTTGGGGACTCACTGGTAATAGTCTGGGGTTCGAATCTTATTGGGATTTCAAAGTTTTTCATCATCTCTTTTTTTTCTTACTAATATGTTGTCTCAAGCGAACATTCGTTAATTCAGTAGGTGTCAGGTTGAGTTACGCAATGCGTGACCCTGGTTCGAATCCCTAACGAGGCGTTATTGAACTTTGGTTGTTGGGGAGTCTTCAACTCCCAACAGATTTAGCAAGGTTCTATCGGAGACAGACCTTTCATTTAGAGTCTCACCACTAAAACAATCTCTCTGCGATGAAAGGTACTTTCTTGGATATTAGAATAGTAGTGAGGTATGCGTTTTACTACCCTTTCAAAACTGTAAGATAATGTGTTTGTTTTGATCGTATTGGATCTTTGGTTACACTTATCAGAAAGAAAAGAAAAAAAATTAAGCAAACAAAACAAAATAGAAACAAATATATACAAAAACAACTAAAAACCAGATGTCTATAATTGAGATGGTGGTGTAAATTTGCTGCAAACAGGAGTTCTATTTCCCAGTGGGGAAGTTATATTATTAACTATGTCCGTCTATCCGCTGGGATATTCTATATGTTTTATATTTTACTATTTTACTCAGCTTGGACTAGTCTTGACAGGCAGTACCAAAGCAGATCGACTCCTGAATATTCATCTTTGTGTCGTACGACCACGATGTTGACATAGGGCAATTTTCACCGGCTAGTCTCTCTTCACCACCAAGTGACGTCATGCTTTGCAGATGAGCAACAAGTGGACATTTTTCTAGTGTGCGCAAGGCCAAAATCTATAATTAAATGAATCGAAGTCTCCCTTTGAACTGCCCCACACCGAACAATGTACTTACTGGAATAAAGCTCGAGACCCTCCGTGGATTCCTGTGGTGAGTCCATCTCAGATCCGTCACAGGCAAGCTTTGACTTCTTCACACAGCTGAGGAATGTCGTAGAAACGTGTCAAAAGAAATCCAAACAAGTAGAAACAAACAAACGAACAAACAAACAAACATAAACAATTCCTAATTCTAACGCGAAGAATCAACAATGCTTTTTCAAATGTTGACAGTTATTATAGTTCGTCTGTCAATGTCTGAGGATGACCAATTCATAAATGCAGTGGAAAATATTTCTAAAGCGAAGCAGAATTAGAAATAAGATTAAGATGACTTAATTGTGGCTTCTGCTATGGCTAATGAGACTAATTCTGGCACAGAAGAGCCTCTTTCATTCTGAGCCGTTGAGAGCTTTATTTCCATTCGTTCATGTGCACTGCTTGTTCGCTTCTCTCTAGGCTTCAGCATTAATTTTGTTCTAACTCGTAAAGCCACATTATATATACATAATAGACTCAGAGGTAAAAGAAACGCGAAATTTTCATCGTCGTCAAAGCGGTGGCCAAAGTTTCTATTGGTGAGTACTGTGTACATGTTCTATTGAAGCATGGTCTAAACCTGCAAGATTGGTCTCATTCGAACAATGCAAAGTCTTGATTGGTTGCTAATGCAACAAACAACTAATCAACTGTCACAGGTCACGTTTACTCACTTCTTCACGTCATTCGAGTAGTGAGAGTGTGTTCATGAGGTCACGGGGACCTCGCCTACAGATATGAAGCCTCGAAATAATATGGAATTGGGTTGGAAACAACAGAATCTGAAGAGTCAAGATGCTAATACTTTCATCAGAAAACCGTGACGGGGCTATTGGACGACTACAGCCTGTTGAGTCTTCTTAACATGTGGCAACTGTTACAAGAGTGCATGTCTCCACCATAGTCTGTCTACAGGACGGTTTCGCGCCAGCAAAGCTACCAGTCATCTCCTCAGAGCCGAAAGACGAAGGGCGACAACTGTAATTCAGAATAGCCTCATGATGCGACAATACTGGATGGATCCGTTTCTGACAGTCGCCGAGACCACCAGGAACACCATCGGACGAACGGGACGGGCCCTGAGTACCAGAACCGTACGGTGGAGGTTGCACTCCATAGGCCTCTGGTGTCGCAGGCCAGTTTGACCCCTTAGTATCACCATGGGCGGCTTCTGTGGGCATAAGCTCAATGAACCGGAGGAACAGACAATAGAGAAGGATGCTGTTCACCGACAAGAGCATAACCTGCGTCGATCCGTCAAAAGGGTGCATCCATGTGTGGTGCACAGACCTGACGTGCTACGCTGATGCCAACGTCGTGGAGAGGGACCTTTGGAGAGGGTCAAGCGTTATGATTTGGTGAGTCATCGTTCTAAATAATAGAACTGGACCAATGTTCTTCCAGAACGTGGGTCATAGACAAGGAAATTGGGTTTCAGCTCAGCGCTTTATTGACCAAGCTTTTCAGCCTCATGTGGTGCACTTTCTCTAGTGGCATCAAAATTTCTATTTCCAGCAAGGCAACGTGAGACCTCATACTGTCCATGTAACACAGCAGTTCCTGTGGAAGATAAACATCAATATTTTGCCTCATCCGGCTTGTTCACTTGACTTAAAGCGCAATCGAGCACGTTTGGGACGTTATCCAAAGGCAGCACAACCAGCTGCAACCACCATCACGGACAGCTCCTCAATTGGCTTCAGCCATTGACCAGATATGGGTACAGATCCCATGTTGACAAACACACACTCTCAAGAAATCTGAGTGTCGAACATGCAGAGCTGTAATTGCAGCCAACGGAGGTCACACACGTTACCGACTTTCTGTCCCAAGGACTCAAGGTCACGGAAAAAACATACTGAGGCTAAAACTACACTAAAACAACCACTTATTGACAATCTCTAGGTTGTATGAATTGGACTAATTAAAATTTCATTTACGCATGACAAACCCATTTTGAGTGTAGTGTGGTTTATTTATGCTTTAGTTATTCGCGTTTCATTTACCTCTGAGATATATATATATATATATATATATATATATATATATATATATATGTATATATGGGGGCTCTCGTGCTCTAGAGGTTAAGGTGTTTGCCTCTCTTTCAAAGGTCCAGGGTTCGAATCTGGGTAGCGACCGAAAAATAATTTCTTCTCTTAAATTGTCTCCTTTCATCTCCTTTCCTGCTCTCTAGCAATGTTCTGTCGTGTGTTTTCGTCTCCTCTTTCTGCCCCAGCCCCCTTACCTCCTTTGCCCCCTCCTCTGGGCTCCTGACTCTTTCTTCAGCCTTTCTACTACTACTCCTTGGCTCCTTCTTACCGCTGTCTTTCTGCCCCACCTCTGATTTTCAAGTAGGAAAGATCTACACCTAGCCTTCTCGGACAAGGGCGAAAAATCTCAGAGGGCCGATGTGCAAGTTGCGCACGTTAAAGATCCCTTGGTGGTTTAAAATCGATACGAGTGGGCTTCGGCCGCCACCCGGGCAAAATTCAAAATTTCCTACCGACTGAAAAAGTTTAACGTGTCCCGCGCGCTAATATGACCTTATGCAGTTGCGAGCACCGTAAAACATTTACCTAAAAAAAAAGATAATATGCGTATAGATAGATAGATAGATAGATAGATAGATAGATAGATAGATAGATAGATAGATAGATAGATAGATAGATAGATAGATAAGTGACTGCTACTCTTGATGTGGGTCTGTCGGGAGTTAGGCTGTCCCATGTCGAGGGATTAAAGGTGAAGTCTTTTCGATACTTTTTCAGGACGTGTTTGTCGCGCTTTTTTTCTTTCTTTCTTTTCTTTTTTTTTTGGGTGTTCAGGATAAAATACTGCCCTTGAAATTTTGAAATCAGGCAATCCTGCGACAGGGAAATTGAAGTCTTTTGAATTTAGAAAAAAGACTCTCGGAATTTGCCCTTTTGGGAACTAGTGTGTCTGGTAATTTTTTCTGCCAGTTGATGCTGAAAATTCTCCCTGAGGTATTCTGAGGTATTCTATGTTTAAATGATTCTTGGCATGCCTTTGGTGCACTGTCCAGGTCTTTGCTCTGTACAATAGGTTTGGGAGGACAACAACATTGCAGACTTTCAACTTTGACTGTGCGAATGTCACTGCAGTCCTAAACCCTTGCTCTCAGTCTTTCAACAGAGGCACTGACTTTATTCGTTCGTAAAATTGCTCTGCGTGGATGTGGGCATTTAAAGACAGTGTACTTCCAATATATTTGAAGCCATTAAACGTTAATATTGTTTAGAATAATGTATTTTGATTTCAGGAGGGGGTGTCAGCGTGTCATCAGGGTCAGGCGGAAAGAGAACTTCTGTCTTTGCTGTGCTTATTGTGGGATAAAAGTGCTTATATGCATCTTAAAAAGTCTCACACAGTTTTTCATACTGGAGTCTTTATAAAATAAGCAATGCACATTCATTGGCAAATAACAGTTTACAGACAAACACCATTCGATTGTCCTGGCCAACGACCCTCAGGAGTTGAACATTCTCCCGCAATCTAATCAATGTCTGATATCAGCGCCAACAGGGGAACTCTGGAATGTTTAATGCATAATGACTGAGAACATGATGCTGAAGAGTGTTGGTGCTAACACACGGCACTGCTTCACTCCATTTGTCACACAAAAGGCTTCTAACATATCACCATTACTCTTGACACTGGCTTTCGTACCGCAAAAGGAAAGAGTCCTCGTTTCTATTGAATTAATGAAAGTACTTTTACCTAATACACATGAATAATTAAACTGCAATACGTGACAATAGGTATCATTTATTCTTCTTCATTTAGTCGTTCACTCAGTATTCATCATTATTAATTGTTCCTTTAGCGTACTTGATTTCACACCAATAGCGCGTATAATGGTGTAAATAAGGAGTCGTGGCCTTTTAACGGAGGATGACGATGAAATATGTGTGTATTGTTGAATCACGTACCTTCGTGTTTGTGACTTACTTATTCTCTTTTTTCCTATCCTGCCCCCCCCCCAACCCATGCTGTTTATTCTGTCTGTCTGTCTGTCTGTCTGTCTGTCTGTCTGTCTGTCTGTCTGTCTGTCT